CTTGCAAGCTTCTTTCTGTGGAGGGAGCCTTTGAGGGAGGGAGAGGGAGAGGGAGGAGTGAGTGAGTGAGAGTGGGGAGGAGGGAGGAGGAGGAGTGAAGGGAGAGAGGGGAAGGGGGGGAGGAGGAGAGGAGTGAGTGAGAGTGGGGGAGAGGAGGGAGGAGGAGGAGTGAGTGAGTGAGAGTGGGGGAGAGAGGGAGGAGGAGGAGTGAGTGAGTGAGAGTGGGGGAGAGGGAGGAGGAGTGAGTGAGAGAGTGGGAGAGAGGGAGGAGAGGAGTGAGAGGAGGAGTTGAGTGAGTGGAGAGTGGGGGAAGGAGGAGTGAGTGAGTAAGAGTGGGGAGTAGGGGGAGGAGTGAGTGAGTGAGAGTGGGGGAGAGAGGGAGGAGGAGGGAGTGAGTGAGTGGAGAGTGAGTGAGAGTGGGGGATAGGGAGAAGGAGTGTGTGAGTGAAGTGAGTGAGAAGAGAGGGGAGAGGGAGGAGGAGTGTGAGTGAGAGTGGGGAGAGGGAGGAGGAGGAGGAGTGATGTGAGAGTGGGGGAGAGGAGGAGGAGGAGTTGAGTGACGGAAGGTTATATATATATATATATTGAGATATTTCTCGTGTTGTGTTATATTTATATTAATAGTATATATATGTATATATATATATGATATTATATATGAATTATTATAGATATGAATTATATTTATAGTTACTTATTGAGCGTTTAATTATATGAGTGTGCGGGTATAGATCTGAGCACGGGTGATCCCCCCTATATATACTATATCAATTATTATATATATATAATCTACCATGTATTCACATATATATATATTATAGTATAGAATTTATTATAATTAATACTATTACTTTGCTAGTGTATATATATTACTATAGTATAATTATATATATACAATATACATAATTATAATTATGAACTCAGAGAATCAGTAATATGATCTTGAGCTGTAGTATACAACTTCATATTACTAATACGACATATTTGAACTATATTAGGTATGTGTTAAGGTACTATCGATAATATAGGTATTACGAATGACATGTAGATTAACTCATGTAGGTAGAGGGTCGTTTAATTCACTTATAAGGTAATAGGTAGTATTAGTTATATAGTATGCGTATATTTAGTATATATATATTAGAATATAATATATGTTGGGTAATCGCTATCCAGGCACGAGTAAATGTATGGTATTGATAGAGTATATATACTACTCTATATTATAGGTATAATATATTTAATTATATTTTTATATAGGTTAGTTATATTATACTAGTATATGAATAGTATATAATATGTATCATATGAAAGATATGAATTATAATGATATAATTGGATAATTAAGGCTATATATTATAATATTAATATAATAAGTTATTATAAGCTTAAGGTAGCTATCTATAATCACTGTATGTGGTCAGGATATCATAATCTGATATCTATATATACATATACATATTCCATATATCTAATCTATCTATCTATACTTATCTAATATCATATAAGTCAGTGTGTGTGTGTGTCGTGGTCACTACATACATGATAGTATATATACTATATGGGCACCGTGTGAGAGGCAGGTGATTGTGCGCGCATAGAAAGGAGGATACACTGGAAAAGGGTTATGGTGAATATTAGATAATATATATAGTTATAGTAACATATATATATGTGTGTGTGTGTGTGTGTGTGTTGTGTGTGTAGTGGCTCCTGTGTGTGTGTGTACTGGATATGTATTGAATAACTCTGTGTGGCGTATGTGTGTGACGTGGTGATGTCAATTAATGCTATACTGCTTAAACAAAGAAAAATCAGAAAAAAAAAATCTTATCGATATTTCACATTTACGATATTCGCGAAACGAACGGAAGAACGCGTCGTGTTGATAATAGCGGTTTTTAGTATGATAGAAAATAGTTATAGATTCGCACTTTTCAGAAGCGGGTTTGAATTGGTCATAATTGGAATTCGTTAGGCATCAAGTTGACAAAAGAATCCATTTTTTGTAATGATATTGATAGTTGATTCATTTTAGGAGAGCTCATGACCCATGTTCGAGTCATTTGTTCTTCTTAATCGTTCAGAGAGATACCCTTTTATTTGTTTAAGTTAGGCAATGTAAACACCATATTGGTGTATATATTGTTGTTGGGTAAGAGTATGTTGATGTACGTATTATTATAAACCGCTTATATACAGATGCATGAATGTAATAGTAGCTGGCGGATCATACTGGGGTATGGCAATAGAGTAAAAAAGGAAGTGAGATAGATAAGAGAAATAAAAATGGTCAGTCTTGCGGATAGATTAATCAGCTACGTAAAAAAATATAGAGACAAATGGTTCCAAACAGAGGGAGTGGGCGTCGATTAAGTAAAGTTGTATTATCAGCAAAACCGTCTGACATTGCACACATTTCTCGACAGCGCCGGCGAAACGCGTGTGCTTCCCTGCCACGGCTGGCGCACACGATCAGATATTCGCGAAATGCAGGCCCCACACGTTTAGCCGCGCGCGTGTGTGTGTGTGTGTGTTGTGTGTGTGTGTGTGTGGACCGATTCAATCTGCAAATGACACACAAGTGCATTCAAATGTACTGAATAAGAACCTCCTTTGCGAGGCTGTTTTCCCAAACTGATTTCCATCAGCGGCGTTCGGTTAAGCGGAAACTACTTTCGTTCCCCGTCTCCAGCGCATTCGGTTCTTTGCTATCCGGTTCAGCGAGCGGCCGACACGCAATAAACGAGGATTTAGATGGCGCACTCGTAGTGTTTAAATGTTTATACTTATTACCTATTGTCATGTATCTGCATGTATTTCAGTATCGGGTTCCCTGTGTATCTATTTATCCGTTTGCTCAATTCTTTAATGTTATAATCTCATTAATCGAGGGTTTGTTTAACTTTTTTTTTTTCTTTTTAGCCCTCCAAAACAATCCTGCATTAGCTATTAACCACTCCTAGGTGTCAATTGTGTCTTTAAATTGTTCTAGGAGTACAGATCGTTGCCTGTTACAAGTCAGTTACTATGAACAGCTAAGCATTCGGTCCGCATAACCCTAGGAAGGGAATCCTGGCTCATAAAGACACGGTTTAAATGAACCGCCGATGTATTCGCGAAAAAACAACATTTTGTAGTCCTCTAGTTCCTTGGCCTCAGTCACCCTCCAGAGGCAACTGAATAAAGTGCTACGTCTTCCATACCTATTATTGCATTTCTGGGTCACACTGATTCAGATTTTTTAGCTCGCCTATACTTACGAGTGAGTTATGCGGTTTTACTGATTGTATTAGACCTTACGAAATATAATCGCATAGCGTCGCACAGCCTTTTGGATTACTGTAGACCAATTGTAGTATATTGTAAACTTTGCTTCCTGGGACAACTAGCCTGTCAGTCTAGATCAAAGAAGTTTCATGAGACGACACCCAGATGCAATACTAGGTTCGACTGTCAGCTTGTAATCATCTATTTTTATTTGCGTTCATATACCCAAACTGATGCACTGCAAATAATCAAGGGGATTTGAGAGCCAAAATAATCCAGGAGACGCTGCACAATGAGACGCTGCACAATGTTCCTATACTTAGATAGCGATGACAAGGAGATGGTTAGAGATAAGAGAAATCTGGTGAGCTGACTGTTAGCCCAAAGAAGGGGGAAGGCTTCATGTAGAGGCTTCCCACACCACATAGAGAGAGAGATAGACTGACGCATCAGGCTGGAACCTAAGGTCAATTGTTGTAGAGCGTATTCCTGTCTTGCCAGGGAGACAAGCGAGGCGAGTAGTTGTGTCAAAAAGTTCGATATGGGCGTGTCTTTAATACTTATAGGTGCTATAGAGATCACTCTCTCTCTATATTCAAGAGACTAGTGCCAAAAGAAAGATAGAAATAAATGATAATCGCACTTTTGATAAGAAACTCTTTGATAGCATTGACTCAGAGTTTGGTATCACATCTCACTCGGCTGATATACAGGTTTCGTGAATCTGTGAAGACAAAGTGTCTAGATTATACACAATTTGGTCATGCATTCGAGAAGTGGTGTTCAAGCTAAGGACTAGGGTGTACCTTCACATGCAATATTATGTATATGGGTGAGGAGAGACAGATTATGCAGGAGGTTGTGTGTGTGTCAGATGTGTATGTGGGGAGTTTTGTTGGTCACCACAGAGCGGGTGACCATGCAATGTTTGTTGCATTTATGATATTTTAATGTGTAATTTGATATCATGTAATCATATAATGTCTGTTTCGGTCTTTCAATTTCTGTGGACCTTAATTTGTTGTGCCACGTGTATACTGAGATAATGGCTGCCAGCACTCATGACGGATATGTGTTAGGGATTCTTTTGCTCACACACTCTCGTTACTAAGAAATTGTGGTGTTGCAGATATCGTGTGTAGACTCATGTTGATATTCTGAAGCTAGATACGTGAAAACAGAAACGAATTGACATGACACTGTATCATAACAAATTCCTCATTATCAATTTCTTTAGTATTCTGCCCCGAGGGCGATGGCGACCAGCTGTCAGCCGACGCCCAGCTGGCCGCTCTGCAGGAGCAACTCGTCGCGGTCATGTTGGACAATCAACACCTTA